CTTTGGTTTCAAAAAGGCGGTGTTGTAGCTCTATAAGAGTAAGTGGAGGGTGATATTAAGATGTGCAGTATATATCAAATGCTGCATGATCCCGTGCAAAACCGTTCTTTTTCTCTAGTCAGCACGTATTAAGGGTTAGAGCTGGCTGTTAGATGAGAAGTGAGCAACAAGTCTGTGGAGAGGCAATAGTAGAAATGATTCTTGGGAACTGACATTGCTAGGCGGGCTGAAGTTAGAGTCAGCACTAGGCTTGTGCGGGCAAGCAGTAGAGAGTAATTGCTGATGGCTGATAGGACTCAGCCTCCGGACTTTGAAAAAATGAATTGCAAGTTATGTGTGAATGGATTATTTCCTCCTTCTTGTTAGAGGAGAGAAAAAAAGATTTTCAGTTTTTGTGATGTAGCTTTTTGGTTGTTTATTCTGTCCTTGAAGTATAAAACTCTGCCTTACTAATGATACGGGCTTTTGAATTGTGGAGAAGTTCAGTATATGATTCCTGTAGATTAGTTCAGTTTGGGAGTGTGGAAGCCCACCAGGAACGGTTCCATGTCCTCAACACCTTTCTTAAGATAAGAGAGGTGCTAAACCTAGAAGGTTTGAGGACACTTTTGTCACCCTAGCTTTTCAAAACGTATAGCATTTTAAAAAGGTTTGTGGACCTGATGCTGTAGATGCTTTCCTTTATGTTTTTTTAGCATGCTTTCAGGCTTTTTTGTGATGATGAGGGTTAAAAATGTCTATTAAAAAAAAAAGGCTAAAACTGTCACCTGCTTTTCGTCCTCCCTAGACAGGGTAGTGAGTAGACCATCAAAGAACTTGTTGATAAAATCGTAAGAATTGATGTCACTTTCACCCCAAGATGAGCCAAGACAAAACAGAGTAGATTTGACTGTGGCAGTACAGCAGGGCTGTTTTCCTCAAATAATTGCTTGCCTTTGAGCCCTGGATCTGACAATGTGATTTCACATCCCAGCATTTGAGGATGAAGAAAGGAGTGGAAACTGTCTTTGGCTAGCTTTAGTAAAAGCCTGCTTTATCTTTGTCCTGAGTGGGCACTTGGAAGGTTGTAGCTCATATCCCAGTTAATAATGAGCATTTGATGCACAGAAATGTACTTTACAGGAGGAATGATAACCTCAAGTGATAATACCTTTTCATCTCAGTTTCTTACCTGTCCGATTCTGTGGGCTGTCAATAGCTGATTTGCTGTAGCTTCTTGCAGCCATCCAAAAGAGATTTTTTCATGCTTACCAGGAGAAAGTCGAAGAACTCTCTAAGCTATTCATTGTGTGTTTATGAAATGCTTCTCACCTTGGTATCTATGTGTCATTGAAATCCTCAAACACCTGACATTGGCTACAGGTTTATACATTTCATTTGGTGAAGAGAGTAGTTCCCTCTCTGGCCTCACATGTAGTGGTACCAAAGGTGACTGGAAACTTGTCACCTTAAAAGCAAAAATGTCACCTTTCAGCAAGGGTGCTGAAATCAGTTCAGATTTTGGTTACGGAAATGTGAATCAGTGGGTAAAGAAATGCCAATGTTTTCAAAGTGCAAGTGAATAGAGTGCAAATTTGGCACATTTAAAGAGAAAAAGAGAACACTGATTCTCTACAGCCACCTTTTGCTCTTTGAAGAACCCCATGTTATCCGTGATGATGTCCATGCCTAGCCCAGTATCTTCTCTCTTACAGTGGCCAGTGCCAGATGTTTCAGACATTGTGCTTTCCTTATCAGTAGCTAGTCACCATCAAAGCATTCAAGCCCTTCAATATCTTGAGCTTGAATGAGCGCAAGTTATTCTGAGATTCCTGGTGGAAAAGGAGAGGAAGGAGTTGTTCCAACAAGTGGTCTGCACTAATTGCAGGGATTGAAACCTTCCCTGATTCTGAATTGGTACTGTGCAAGGCATGCTGTAGGATGGCTGTTCTGACAGAATAATTGAATATTCAGAGGCGCCAGTGGAATCTTGACTGTGCTTTGGTTGTATTTCTCAGCCTCCCTAATAGGCCAGCATTAGGGAAATTTTTTTACAGCTGTGACAGCATGGAAAGCTGGGTTTAATGTTTTGTTATCTTCCGTTTTTATTTGTAGTTTGCTTTTCCTGATGCCCATCTTGTATAGTTGCCTTTCTTTTGAGGGAGAATTGCTGATCTGACTTCAGGACTAAGTGCATAGCACCTCACAGAGCACATATTCCACTGACTGGGAAAGAAGATGCACACTAGTAGTTCATTTTATCCCCAGAGCGCTTCCTCGAACAAGTGATATAAAGGCACTAAATTAAACAATACTGTTCCTTGATCTGCTGCAGCCCTGTCACTTACTGTAATTATTGGAGCTGCGTCTGCGTCGTCTTCTTATAAGCGAACGCTGCCCTGGGGACTTGGAAATTAGTATGTTGATTTGAGTGAATAGCTATTTGGCATGCACCTTGAGGCACTGCCACAATATTCTTAAATTGTAATTGTTAAATGAGAAGCACAGCCTGAAATTTAGAGAAAAAGGAGAACCCAGCCCTCATCCCTGAAACTTAAATGCTTAAGTTTTCTGCGTGTTGGTTATCTCTAAGAACAACGATCACAGTTGTTCTAGGCACCTTGAAATTCGCTTGGACCCAGTATTCTTTCAGGCAGCTCCTGAGCAAGTTTGAGTGTTAGTGTGGGTGAAGAACCATTCCCAGTAAATGAGTATTCTCTCAAACCACGTGAGTTGTGCTTCCCTGTGTGCATTATCATGAAGGTCCTAGAGGGCAGACTGTTGAATGTGAGTCAGCAGTGCATCTTGCAGTAATGAAGGATCACTGTGTCCTGAGCTGCGTTAGTAAGAGTGTAACCACCAGACCAAGGGAATGGCTTACTTCCCTTTTCTTGGCATTTTTGAGGCTGCATCTGGAGTAGTGAGTCCAGTTTTGGCCCCTCAGTATAACAAGCTTGTTGAGGAACTGTAGGGAGTCCGTTTGGCCATGAGGAGGGCTGGGATACTGGAGCATGTGATGTGTAATGAGAGGCTGAGGGAGCAGGCATGTTCATCTTGGAGAAGTAAAGAATAACGAGAGAAAGATCTAACGGCTGTTTGCCACCCCTTAAGGAAGTTACAGAGGAAATGGAACCAGCCTCTTCTCTGAACAGCATAATGACAGAATCAGAGGCAACAAACACAACTCATAATGTGGGAAATTCCGGTTAGATATAACGGAAAAGTTCTTCGCTGTGAGAATGGTTAAGCGTTGGCACATGTTGCCCAGAGAGGCTATGGAATTCCTGTTCTTGGAGATATGCAATACTTGACAGGGTCCTGAGCAACTTGATCTAAATTGGCGCTGCTTTGAGCAGATGGTTGGACTGGGTGACCTGCAGAGGTCCCAGTCTAAATTTTTGTATGATTATAGTCCACATTTTTGATATTTTTTAAAAGAAGTCTAAGATATATGTCAGGTTTTCCTTTAGAGATTTGTCTGAGGGTTACGTGTCTCTGTTGATGATTTTGTCTTTCCTCTCTCCACTGCCTCTAAAGAAAGAGGTAGAGGAGCACAGAGGCAGGGTATTGTGGGACCGCTGCTGGTGGACTTGTGCTGGTGGCCAGTAGTGGGAAGGGGTTTTGCAAACTCACTACAGAGAGGAGGAAGTCTATGGGGTTGAATGGGATCATAGTTGAATGGGATCATGGTTGATGCCGTACTTCTACATGTTGTAGAGTTTCCTGCACAGATGTCTCTAGGTCACCAGCACAACTATTTCTCCTCAGGCTTGAGCGTGGCAGCGTCAGGAATTGCTGCTCTGGCAACCTGACTGCAGTCAGGCCTTTTAACTCAAGGTAACTTTAATGAGGCTTTGTTCTGATGCTTTATTTTCATTAGCAACTGGGTTAGTGTGTGTGATGTTGTCCTGTAACAAACAGGAGAAATTTGGTTCTGCATACTGTTTTCTTTCTCAAAAGTGTGCAGAATAGAGGAGAAAGCAAGGCTTTTGTGTTGATGGCCTAGAACAGGAGGAGCAACTAGAGAAATTAAAATGGTATATTGAGAAGGGAGATGAAAGGTGTGACTGGTGTGGGCCTGGTGCCATGATGGACTAGGACCTCATCCAACAAGCTGTAGTTGCTCACCTCCTACTTTCCCCTTAGCAGCTCTGCACCTGGGCTTTTCTATCTCATGATCATAAGATCGCAGGACAATTGAGATTGGAAGGGACTTCAAGAGGTTTCTAGTCCAACCTCCTGCTCAAAGCAGGCCCAGCTAGGAGTTCACACCAGGTTGCTTGGGCCTTTATCCAGTCATGTCTTAAAAACTTTCAATGGTGGAGACTGTACACCCTCTCTGGGCAACCTGCTCCACTGCCTTATAGTGTCCTCACAGTGAAAAAGTTTCTTCTTATACCCAGTCTGAACCTCTCATGCTTCAGGTTATGCCTGTTATATCTCATTCTCCCACCATACACTACTATGAAGAACCTGGCTCCATTTCCTCAGTAACCCCCCTGCAGGCACTGGCAGGCTGCTAGTAGCTTCTCCAAAAACTCCTCCTAAACAAGCCCACCTCCTCCAGCCTCTCCTCATAGGGCAAGCACTCCAGCCTCCGACCATTTTGGTGGCCCTCTGCTGAACTTGCTCTAGTTTATTGACGTCTGTCTCGTACCGTGGGGCCCCAAACTGGGTGCAGTATCTAGATGCAATCTACGTGATGCGTCTGACTGAGTTGCATTTCCTGTATACTTGATAGCTATGCCAATGTAAATAAGTGGTATGACGAATAAGTTTGGAACATCTGAATGTTGGTTCTTCTGAGGATATAACATGGCTGAAGGCCAAATCGCTCAACCTCTCTTCTCTCTCTTTCTCTCTCCCCTCTGCCCCCTCCCCCCATTTTTCCCCATGTGTGAGACGGTAATAAAATCTACTTCTCTCATTGTTAGTTGTGTGTTTGCTGTGCTGAACTGCTGTTAATCACCTAAATATTAACTTCCTGTCACTAATGCTGGCTCTTGTCGTGTTTCTGGCAGGTTACATATCACAAGTGTTAAAGAATTACACTGACCATGCCTGCGATGGAGAATATGTTTCCTTGAGATGTCCTCACAGAACCACCATCAGTATCCAGTCTTCTTTTTATGGCCGAATTGTACCAAGTCATCAGATGTGTCCTTCTCGTTATCCCCACTCCTATGCAACTTTAATTAAAGAAGATGTTGCTTGTTCAGTTGGGACTTCCCTTCAGGTATTGCATGTTAAATTGGATCTGTTCATTCTGGACTTCATCCTTCCTGCATCTTGATGCTGCAGAGACCTGTACTGTAAGTGCTCCCGTGCTGGGTAGCACTGTTCACTTGACACATCTTAGTGCATGATTCATCTTTATAGTGTAGACAGAGATGAATTAGGTCTTGCTGATGCATTTCTTAATTTTGCTACATCTCTGGTCAATAAAAGTTCAGGAATGTGATTGAAACAGAATTATGCTGCGAGAGCAAATTATGTCCAATGTATTTTGACCAAATTTGGACCGTGTTGGAAGATTTTTTTTAAAGTCTTTCTTCCCAAAGGGTAGCTTTTTCAACACATTCAGAAGTTGCTGTGGAGTTCTTTTTAGTTCAGCAATGCTCCTTTTTTGAGGGGCTTTTGCTTTAGTAACTTGAGAGGAACTTGGCCAGAGAGAATCCTTAGCTTTACTTTTTCTCCTGACTCAGTTGCCTTTTAGACCACTGTAAATGATCATACATCACTTAAGCTTGTAATCTCCCAAGCATCAGTAGTTAATCACCTCTGCCTATTTGTGTACAAGATCACTACATGTATCCTCCCGAGAGCACATGTGACTTCAACAAATCAAAAGATAGTTTGGAAGGTGTATGTGTTACTCAGTTGTCAAGAGGAGCAAGTGAAATTAGAAACATGAATTGGCTGATGCTGCTGAGATGAATGGGATGTGCTCCCAGGGGTAAAACTAAGCGCAAGTCTTTCCAAGTGCAGGAGTTGAGACTGTGAAAAGTTTTGGGCAAAGACCTCAACTTTTCTTAAGCACCCAATGTGTTTATGGCTATGAATCAATAATAACTCTTAATAAAATTTATAGCAGAACTAGGCTAATGAACCTACAGGGCTAGTGAAACATTTCTTTTATAATTTGGCTGAAGGCCTAGTATTTCCAATGTCACTTCTAACTCTTGCATTCAGGATTTTTTAGAGGAATTTACAGCTTTTTTTTTTTTTAAATTGATATCAGCGCTTTGGCTTCCAAATGTCAGTGGTAAATGCTCAAGAAATTGCACAGGATTGGTGTGTACTTGTGTGTAACCCTTAAGCTGACAGATTTGCAGTTGCCCTCATAACACTTCCATTGCACATCAAGTGACCGAGTTATGGTATGGGAGGACGTGGTCCTTATCAGTTGTTTGTTTTCCCGGATATGATAACGAAAGCTCATAACATAACAAACAAGAGGCAGCCGTGCTGTTAGGAGGGGGGAATATGGACTGGGGACTTTGGCGTAGGCCACCCTTCCTTTCTTTCTTTTATTTACTGCCAGATTTGCTTGAAACATTTCATTAGCTGGCATGATTGATACCGATGTGCATAGCCTCATCCCTTGCAGGTGAGTGCCTGCTTAAGGCATCTGGAACAGCTTGAGAACAGGGAAGGTGTAATCTTCCTTGGCTTTTCTTGCCATGGTTTTATATGCAGAAGGGATTTAAAAGAAATCCTTACCTACTTAGCTTAGCTCCTTTTGTCCTCGGAGCTGACTGTTACTCCTTAGGTTTGCCTCCAGCACTTGCAGTACTTCTTATTACAGCTCCCCTATATGAATGGTGTGCTTTATAGGCAGTCTTGCAGCAGATGTCTTATACAATAAATTTTCTACGTGACTGAGACCTGAACACTCCTATTTGTGCCTTTTGGGGGTGCAGACCTGCTAGGGAGGTAGGTGACATTCTCTGCTCTGCTGCAAATTTCTTATGGGACCTCAGGCAAATTCCTGAGTCTCTGTGGGGGAGATCCACAGTACCTCTTTGGTGCCCCTAAATCTGGGTTTGACATCTCAGTGTGCAGTGCCTGGCCACAGTAGGGTGAATCTGAATGCCAGAGTTGGATCTCTTGGCTCCTCTCTTAATCCTGGCATGGGTGAGGCCTCTCCAAAGGGTAAGCCAGAAACTCTGCAAGCTGAATGGCAAGCTGCCTGGAGCTAGCCAGTAGGAAATACATGCATGTAAGAAAACTGGAAAGCTGTAGACAGGAAAATTGTGTGTGCTTTTGCAGTTTTAGAGTCAGTTGTATGGCTACTATAGACAGGACCATTGTGTGTGTGTTCTGATTGGCAGTAATTTAAAAAAGTCAGCTAGGCAAACCCTTTGCAATTAAGTATATAAAATCACCATATCTAATCAAGCCCAGACTTGAAACTGAAATTTATTGCTTTTCATGGAGAGTGGCATGGAGGGAGTTCAAGGGGCAGTTGTTAATACTATTCCTTGCAAACACTACCTGTGACTAACAGTTAATTCTTGTTTAAAGGCCTTCTCCCCTGTAAATGTCCAGTCAGGACACTGTTTCTGCGTTAGAAAGGAGAAAAGCAAAGGTTGATTACACTGAGACAACTGCTACTCACGACTGATCCAAACTTAGGTTGTTGGGTGCCAGAAGTCCTTGCCTGAGTTACTTGTTTTTGTCTGAAGTGAGATGCAGATCACTTGGGAGACCTTATCTGAGACATTAAGGCAGTGACCCCAAGCTACACATTTCTGTTATTCTAACATCATAATGTCGGATTCAGTGGAAGATTTTCAAATGCACAAGGGTTTGGACATTTTGGGCTGAGATTTCAGTTTTAATATGGTTAGTCTCTTGTTAGCTTTTGTATCAAGTCAGATGAATATGGAAGGATCAGAAGAACAGACTAAAGTTGCACTGAAAGTCAGGCATTATTTGCTTTTTAAACAGTGCTTCCTCCATTTCACCCTCTTTAGCAGGGGACCCAGAGTTGATAACAAGTCACGTGAGATGTTGCAGCGCCATGAAGGAAAGACAGATTTGTGCTGCAGTCTTGAAGCATCTTTGAGGTATTTAAAGGATGGAGGTGTAGAAACTGCCTACTTATCCTTTAATATTAGAAGCTGATTTTGGACACCAATGCTGTTAATAGAGTCTGGTACGGTCTCTTCTGCACTTCCCCTGTAGAATCCTGTAGAGAGTATTTCTGACTAGGAGGTCAGGGAGCAGTATCCTTGTGCCAGCCAGAAGGGCTGGATGGGGGACACAGAAGAGGAATATCTGGAGATTTGCCTTGGTGCCTCTGGTAAAAGAGGCCCATGCAGTGTAAACTGTCCTGCCTTGGTGGTGGAGGTTTGTGAGGAGGAGCTGTCACCTTTTTATGGTGCCCAGGCACTTTTCATGCTTACAGGCCGGGAACAGTAGCTGCCAGGACCAAAGTCTATTAATCTTTCACCCAAAGAAATAAATCTTTGAATATTAAGGGTCTTTTAGCTGTGTACCCACTGGAAAGTATATAGGGCCAGAGCAGGACCATGCAGAGGTGTTAGCTTGAATCCTGAAGGTGCAGAACTGCTTTATGGTGATCCTACACCTGCGGTATGATCTGTGCATGGTGTTGGTGTCCCTGCAACGACTCATAGCTCCCACGTACCTTGATCCTGCAAAAATATGTGGAGGCACATGTAGGAAGCTGCTCAGTTGGAGAAGAGATTTGGAGTGATGTGTTTATAAAGCGTTTTGCAGCCTTATTCCTGCAGCGGAATTCCTGATGTCGCTTGTTTTCAGCAATAAGCAACTTAAGGACTGTATGGAAGAATATTTAATGGTTGGTCTGTAATTTTTACCGGAAAAGTAGATTATACTTTGCAGCAGATTATCTGCAATATTCTCATTTTTGCAAATTGACAGAAAAGTAGAATCGAAGGAAGGAAAATTTAAAACCCTGGAGAGGTTGTGTTTCTGTTGTGTTTCTGCTCCCAGATATTTATCAGAGAAATCGCAGGCTAACTTCTGCTTTCAGAGCTGCATCTACTGAAATCAGCAGGAAACTGCAACTTGGAGAGCAGTGACTTCTTACCATGTGGCTTCTTTTCCCAGGGCAAAATATTATTTTTCCTTAGAAGGTGCTCTGGAGCTAACTCGTGTGTCTCATTAGAAAGACCAGCTGGGTTGGGCAGGGAGCGTAGGCATGATCTGTCGCCTGAGCGTCTTTCAACACTCTCCAGGACAACCAGCCGTTGGTGACAAGAATCACTCATGCTGCTGATGTGGTATTTCCTTTTGTCCTTTAAGCAAGATACACGACACCTTTGCTGCCACCGTCTCCTGCTGTCGCTCTCGCAGCATGTGATGCAGCTGTACAAAAGGGAGCAGATTCCTTGCATATTAACCACGGGATTCCCCCAGCCCTTTTTCTCCTCCTTTTTATTTACATCCACCAAGAAGGCTTCTGTGATAGAAAGCAAAGAGGAGCTGACCGTTCTGCTAATAGGAAGATCAGACAAGCTTTCCACCAGCTGCACCCCTTTCAACTTGTGGGGCTGTTGTTGATCACAAAACAAGGCCGGAAGGTGTGTGTGTGTGTTATTATTTCTAAAGATAGATAGTTTTATTTTTCCTGAGCGTTCTGGATTAACAATGTGGCAGAGTGAAATGGAGAGTAAAAGACAGTGATTCAACTACTCCATCTCTCCGGATAGGCCAGGAACAGTAGCTACTGGCCATGCCCAGTCCGGAAAGGGTATTGTACAGTCCCAGAAAGAGCCCGTTCCCAAGACCCTGAACAACATAAAACAAGATGATGGTGAAAGGGAGAGAGGTGGGAAAAGGAAGAATAATTTGCACTAGACCACGTGGCCATTAGTACAGCTGGGAGGAGAACCCAGGACCCCAGAGTCCCTGTCCTGGTTTCCCTGGACTGCATTGCCATCCGTTACATTGCACATTCGGAGGTCTCCAGGGTTTACAGATAGTCTGAGCAGGGAAGGCTTCAGTCTCAGAAATGTCAGTAAATTAAAGAGCTGTTTGGGCAATGCTTAGCCACACTATACTAAAATTGCTCTGCAGAGACTGGTGAGCAGTGAGCTTAGGGTCCAGAAGAGGTTATTGTAATGCCAAAATTGCCCTTAAAAATCACAGAAATGGTGCAGCTTCATTCATGAATCTTGAACAAGCTGACAGATAACTCTGTAGCAAGCATCTCCCGCAGCTAATTATTTGCAAGTAGAAAAA